GATTGGAAGATTTAATCCATTTACATTGAAAGTAATTGTTGATAGATATGTAGTTATTGCTATTTTACTATTCATAGTTTTGAGTGTGTGTGTGTGTGTGTGTGTGTGTGTGTGTGTGTGTGTGTGTGTGTCTTAAAGAAATCCCTCTAACAGTCCTTGTTATTCTGGTTTGGTGTTGATGAACTCCTTTAGCTTTTTGTTGTCTGGGAAGCTCTTTATCTGTTTTTTTATTCTAAATGATAGCTTTGCTGGGTAATCCTGGTTTTAGGTCCTTGCTTTTCATCACATAGAATACTTTGTGCCAATCCCTTCTGACCTGCAAAGTTTCTGTTGACAAATCAGCTGACAGTCTTATGTGAGCTCTTTTATGGGTAACTCACTGCTTTTCTCTTTTAAGATTTTCTCTTTCTCTTTAACCTTTGGCATTTTAATTATGATGTCTTGGTGTGGGCCTCTTAGGGTTCATCTTGTTTGGGACTCTCTGCACTTTCTGGGCTTGTATGTCTATTTCCTTCACCAGGTTAGGGAAGTTTTCTGTAATTATTTCTTTCAATAGGCTTTCAATTTTTGCTTTCTCTCTCTTCTTCTTCTGATACCCTGATGATGCACATGTTGGTATACTTGATGTTGACTCAGAGGCCCCTTAAACTATCCTCATTTTTTTTAATTCTTTTTGTTTGTTTGTTTTGCTGTTCTGTTTGGGTATTTTTTGCTACCTTATCTTCCAAATTGTTTATTCAATCCTCTGCTTCATCTAATATATTGTTGATTCCCTCTAATGTACTCTTCATTTCAGTTATTGCATTCTTTATTTCTGACTGGTTCTTTTTTATGTTATCTATCTTTATTTTTATGTTTTCTATCTCTTTCTTAAAGTTCTCCCTGAGTTCATTGAGCATCCTTATAACCAGAGTTTTATTTACCAGTTACCAGTTACCAGTTACCAGAACTCTGCATCTGGTAGATTGCTTTTCTTCATTTTGTTTGATTCTTTTTCTGGAGCTTTGTTTTGTTCTTTTGTTTGGGACATGTTTTGTTGTCTCTCCTTTTTGGCTGCCTCCCTGTGTTAATTTCTATCTATTAAGTAAGGCTGCTATGTCTCCTGGGTTTCATAGCATGGCCTTATATAGTAGGTGTGCTGTGGGTCTCAGTGACGCAGGCTTCCGTGTCACCTGAGCCGGGTATTCCAGGTGTGTCCCTTGTGTGGGTTGTGTGTGCCCTACTGTTGTAGTTGAGCCTTGGTTACTGTTGGCACATCAATAGTAGGAACTAACCCTTGGGCCAATTGGTTGTGATCTTGACTACAGTGGAGGAGGTATTGTGCTGGGGCGGACCCTACAGAGCAGGACTCGCTTTAGCAGGGCTCTAGTGCCTGCCCAGTGTGCCCGTTGGGTGTGTCATCCCTGAAGGTGGTCAGGTGTTTCTCTGGCTGGGTTCAAAGCTGGCCTCTGGGCATGCCAGCCCCAGGGTCTCCTGGGAGGAGCCCCACAACAGGCCAAGTTCAGCTGCAGCTTATGCCCTGCTTGGGGCCCCCTGACACAAGCCGTGAAGCAATCTGTAGATGGCTGCCATCCATACGGGGCTTGGAGGTGCCTTGTAAATCCAAGCCATGAACCAAGGCTGACTATTGCTAGTGTTGAGCTTAGGGCTGCTCAGCCAGAGCTATGGGACATTGCTAAAGCCAGATGCTGCTTGTTAGGGTTTTGAGAACCTTTGAGAGATTTTAAGAAAGTCTGTAGCATGAGCCAAGGCAGGCCATTGTACAAAAAATTCCACTGGAAACAGTTTAGGTGGGCCCAAAAGTTGGGCGGGGCCAGGAATCAGGGCAAACCAATGGTGTTAGCCAGATTGATGGAGACTCAGATATGGTGACTACCTACATTCACACGCCAGGATGGGGGAGGGCTCAACAAAGAAACAATGGCTTCCTCCAACTCCTTTGTCCCAGAGAAAGCTGCCCCTCCAGCTCTCACCCTGAAGCCTAACAATTCAGTTCCTCCCCATATATCCCTGGTATCTTTTGAGCTGCTGCCCCATCGCTGGAGGTCAGAGCAAGTGAGTCCATCAGTGAGTAAATCTGTGTGCAGGTCCTTTAAGAGGAGCATCTGGGAGTCCAGTCACCCTCCGTCTCACTCAGCCACAATCTCTACTGGTTTTCACAGCCAGAATTTATGGGACTTTTCTCCCCGGCACTGAAACCCTGGGCTGGGGAACCTGGTTTGGGGCTCCTCTGAAGGGAACCCTCACAGCCAAGATATCCCTCCCAATTTTTAATGGTCAGACGTGGGTGTGGGACCAGCCTGTTCCACATCTCTGCCCCTCCTACCAGTCTCAAGGTGGTTTCTTCTGTATGTCCTTAGTTATAGGGCTTTGATTCAGCAAGACTTCAGGTGATTGTCAATGATGGTTGTGCTGCAGTTTAGTTATAATTTTGATGTGGTCACGAGAGGAGGTAAGCACAGTGTTTACCTATTCCACAATCTTGACTTGATCCCCAGAGAGGCATTCTTATCCAAAAGCATTGAGGGCTCCTTCTTTCTCCTTACTGTATCCACTAAACAACTTGCCTCATTTTATTCATCTAAAAATAGGGAAGGGAGTGCTTACTTTACGTGGTTCTCATGAGGACTAAATTATAATAGATATATGTAAAGCATACAGCACGTGGTTGTCATGAGGACTAAATTATAATAAATATATGTAAAGCATACAGCACAGTGTAAAGTAAGTGTCCAGCAGCAGTGGTAATACCAGTTGTAATGTTGAATTCCCCAGTATGATGGGAAATATTTTTAAAGTTCACCCTTTGGTTTTTGACTGAATTGACAATCAGAGGCCAGATCATAAAGACTTTGTGTATCATGAAAAGAAGATTCCATCTTATTCTATAGGCAATAGAAACCAGTAAAGAGTTTTACTACCAAGAGAAATATGATCTGGATGGCAATTTAGAATGGACCAAGGGGAGGAGAGCAAAACCCAAAGCAGGCGGAGCAGCAGGAGGCTGCTGTCAGAGACCAGGGGAGAGAAGAATGAGGGTCTGAGTTGATGAACTGGCTGGTGTGATGGAGAGGGGGGAACACACAATGGACAGTCACACTCTGGGACTAGTACTTGAGTTTGGCAAGAGAAAGGGGGAGATGCTCAGGGTAAGCCTCAGGCTCCTGGCTGAGTATTGGCTCCTCTCGGGGTACACCCAGAATGCAGAGGAGAGGCTGGCTGAGGGTATGGGAAGGTGCCAGTTTGGGGTAGTTTGGGACATATAAGGGAGTCACAGTGACAGTTGGATATTCAGATCTGGATTGAGGCGTGTGCTCAGGGCTGGAGCAGCATACGTGGCAGTCACTGAAGCTGTGGAAGTGGATAAGAGCCCTCAGAGGAGGGATGTAGACTGAGGAGAGGGCTCAGGGTAGGATTCTGGAAACACCAGTATTTAATGATGGCAAAAGGAGAGGCGGAAGGAGACTGAGGAAGAACACTCAGAAAGATAAGAGTCTTAAGAGGGTTGTCTTCCGCCATGGCAAAAGCTTCAGAGAGAGCAAATGAAGTAAGGGAGGCCTGCAAGGTGCCCACTGGATTTGACAATTAGTCACTGGGAACCTTGGCAACAGCAGGAGCCAAGGGGCAGCATCCAGTTGGCCAGTGGATTCAGGAGAGAGTTGGACTTTTTAAGGAGAGAAGCCAGAACGTGGATGTTCCCAGGGTTGCAGGCATCTCACTCCCTTGCCATGCAGTCCCACCTATTGCTGGAGATTCCTGATTGGTGGAAGGTCTTCCTTACAGAGCCCAAATCTCCAGCATTTTCCTTCAGCTCTCATTCAGCCTTCCAGGTCCACACCAACCAAGTCTATACGCTCCTCCAAAGAACCGTCCAAATCTGCCTCCTCCCCGGGTTGTCTCATCCAACCCCTCCCCCGCCCCGACACACACACACACACACACACACACACACACACCACCACCACCACCACCACCACCACCACCACCATTCCGTATGCTCCAGGCTCCCCAGACTTGCCTTAAACGCTGACTCACCACGATGGATCCTGTTTTATTGAAACTGGACTTGTTCTTTGGTAATATCGGTCTTTATTTCTCTTCTTATTAAGTTGATTGCTTCCCAACATTTTTTGTAACCTCAACCCAAAATGAGAAATACATTTTACATTATGTTCAGTATATACATGTATATATAACTGAAAGGAGATGCACTCTTATTTTCAACTTCATTCCATTCCATTGTATCCTATTCTATTTCGTGTTTTTAAGTGTTGGTATTGGTCCACCACATTAATTTTACAACCCACAGAACTGATTTAATGGTTGATGGTATGACTGACAGAGCCACTGTGTTAGGAGAGGCTCAAAGCAAAAGATGTTAAGTGTCCGAATCCATCCCCCTTTCCTCCCTCAGGACCCTCCACACTGGAGCCCACAGGCCTGCCCTCTAGTCACTTTTTTATGATTCTTACAAGAAAGAGAACTAACTGCTTCAGTCACTAACATGTTAGCCAGCCTTGGGGGTGGGGAAATGTATTTGAATGTACAGAGTGACTCATCAGGGGAAAGTAAGCAGCTCTAATGGTGGAATTTAGAAACCAGTAGAGAGAATGGCTCACCTTTCAAATCACCGACATGTCCCTGTGCTTACACATGAGGCATCAACAGCCTGAGGCATTTCATGCCTTGAGGATGCCCTGAGGTGCCTCTACTACCACCTCTCATGGAGACATTAAGAATTTCTCAGCCTTTAGGAGTATGGCCGCCTATTCATTACAGGTCACACAGCTCCACCCCAGTCAGACACCTGTCTGGAGTTGTGCTGGTCTGGTCTCTATGTCTCCTTCAGACTCCCCTGAGGAAACATCTCTCCCTTGAGACACACTGCCTTCTATAAATCTTCCACCAAAGAAAATTTGAGGATTTTTTTTTTTAATAATAAAAGATGACATCTGTGTTCTAACACTCTCTTCCACAATGTCTTTTCTACTTCTGCTCAGGAACAGCAAGGATTTCTGAATCGACCTTACCTACACAAAGAATGATGTTGCCTGAGGAATAGCAGAGGTCTTCTGTCATCTGCTGAAAGGTACCTGCTGCTACCATAGACACCTGGGGCCTCAAGAAGCCCCTTGGAGGGCTTGTCTATCACATCCCTGCAATGAGCCAGGCCCTGTGCTGGAGCACATCTTCACCCTGGTGAACGAAACTCCGCCTCTGGCCCCCAGGACACACACCCAGCTTAAAGATGAGTGAAGAACGCTGGGTCTCCCTTACCCCAGAAGAATTTGACCAACTCCAGAAGTATTCAGAATGTGAGTAAATGGATTGACCCCTCTGGGGTGGGCTTTCCTTTTGGCCGAGGAATTTATTTCTGGATTACAGAGCAGTACAATCACTGCAAAGCTACAGAGAATGAGGTCGGGCCTAACCACTTATATTGCCTCATAAACACAGAATTAGTGTCTTAAACATAAAAACACAATTAGCTTTACACTCCTTAAATGATATATGCTCAGCATAGGAATTTGGAATATCCAGGAGAAAAATATAAACAGTAGGTTAAAAATCACAGCTAAACTCTATGAGCATTTTGGAACCCTCCCCCCCTGTGCATATTGCGTTCCATGGCTGAGTTCCTGAATATACCCTTTTTTTCTAACCCTGCATTTTCCACCTAACCTAATATCATAAGTATTTTCTCAGGTCATTAAAACCTCTTTATAGCATAATTTTTGAAGGGCTACAGGCTGTATGGTTACATTGTTATTCAATCATTTGCTGTAATATACTCTTGTGTTTGGACTAAATGCCTTTTTTTAGTTGGGTACAGAATTTTAATGTCTGTCTCTTTCTTGACTCTGTTCTGGGAAAGCCTGGGCTTTGGAATGGGGCTCTTGCTTTCATGAGTTGGACCCAGGAATAATTTCAGTGCATCAACACATAGTGGTGGCGACACCACGTTCACATGCAGGCACACAGGTGTGCCCCCCACAGGCCACTCCTAATATTGACTAGTGACAGGAATTGCCCTGGGCTGTGGTAGAGCACCAACTGACCGCTGCGCTCTGTGTGACACAGTGACTGTCATGACTGTGCAGTGGCACCGACTTTTCGCAGAACCCTTTGTCTTACAGAGCTGCCACCCGCACTGCTGCTCCCACCCCTTTGTTCTAATCACCTCTCCCTTCACGTTAATTGTACTGGTGCTTTTGTAAATCACTAGGCCTGTAGCATGTTAACCTCCATAGAGATCTAGCCCAGGTTGCCCTACGAATGCTTTTTTGTTAGCCTGTCCTCCTGCCGCAAGGCAGGCAGCCCTTCCAGCACTGGTCTGGGAGTCAGGAAATCAGGCCCAGTGCCAGCCTGGGCTCGTGCCTTCTGTGATTTGACAGATTTTAACGCCCCAGAGCCTCAGCATCCTCTTTACAAAGTGAGAGGTTTATGATCTCTCCCTGTGGTTTCCCCCCAAGACCTAACACCCCATGACTCTGTGAGTTCCCCAAAGTCAACAGGAGCCCCGAGGCTACTGGTCAGTCTCTGTTCTAGTACCCTGGAGCTGGTGGCCTCTTGTCTGACCTCCGTGGGTTTAGAGAAATTCGGTAATGTACTGACAAGGGGCAGGGAATCGCCCTCCAGGGTAAACTCCATTTAATTCAGCCTGCTCTGCAGGTCAGCTAGGCACCAGGCCCTGTCAGGAGTGAAACGGAAGCACAAAGGGAAGGCTTGCCCTTGAGGAATCAGAATCTTGTTAGGGAGTCAGAAATGTGCTTGCGACAGCAGCGGAGAACAGGTTTAAGGCAGCAGGCGGACAGCTCTGGCACAGCGGGCTGAACTGGGCGCATAAACCGAAGGGAATTTAAAGCTGGGGAAATAGATGTGAGAAAGTGTATTAGTTTGCTAACCTACTGTGACAAAGTACCACAACCTGCGTGGCTTAGAACATGTCTCACAGTTTTGGAGGCTAGAAGTCCAAAATCAAGGTAACGGCAGGGTTAGTTCCTGCTGAGGGCTGTGAGAGAGGACCTGCTCCAGGCCTGCCCCCTTGGCTGTTTCCCCGCTTTGTCCCTTCACATGGCGTTTCCCTCTGAAGGTATTTCAGTGTTCAAATTTATGTTTTTCTATGGACACAGTCATGTTGGATTGACCCATGCTACTCTAGCATGACCTTGTCTTAACTGATTACATCTGCAATGATACTGTTTCCAAATAAGATCTGAGGAACTGGGGGTTAGAACTTCAATTTAACCCTTAACAGAGGATTAAGCTGGGTGAACTCTATGAGGGAAAGAAGTTTTAAATGTGACTAGTAGATGGTGGGGCGAGGGGTAAAAATAATGGAAACAATGGTAGAGGGGCACAGCGGGTGGGGGTAGGTGTGGAGTGGGAGGGAGAACTTCTGGGCTAGATGGAGAGAAGGAGCAGGTGGGTGGGGAGGAGGACAGGAGGAATGGGGATAGCAGGAGGTCTTGGGCCCTGCATGTCAAGGCGTGGCCTTTGGACTAAGGTGGCAAGATTTAGAGCCACGAAGCTGGTGGCTATGTGCAGGGTGGCCTGGATGAGGAAGCTGCCAGGTATCAGGCAGAACCTTGTGTATGAAATCTAGTCTGAGCTGAGGAACAGAGCTAACAAAGACAGTGAATGTGGCAATGAACAAATGCTTAATTGTGAGAAATTGCGGTGGAAATATCATCAAAACTTATGGAACAAAAGGGAGCCAGCAAAGATACCGCAAAGCCTGTGAATCTGTGGCAAATGGCACCATTAGGATGCAGGGCTGATGGGGACCGTTTGAGAATGTTGATTTTGAGATGGTGATGACTTATGCATGCATATGTGCCAGGCTCCAGGGAATCAGCAATGAGTGAGAGATGATCCTGCCCTAAAGGGCTCACAGCCCAGTGGGGAAAAACAGACAGGACTCGAACAACGATGTTCAGTATGACAGGTGCTAAGGAGCGGGGCGCATGAAGGACGAGACCTAGTCCAGGCTAGCGGGAGACTTCCTAATGCAGGTGTTGTTTCCAGACCCCAGAAACACTAACTAGTAGGAAGGAGGAGGAGGTGGGCATTCCAGGCAGAGAACATGGCTTGGGCAAGACAAGGTGGTGAGAAAGTCATCAACGTAGCTTCTGAGAACTGCAAGCCATTCCCAGTCTGGGATCCTAGAGCTCATGGGGTGGGGGGGGGGGCAGATCAGGGCATGAAGTGGAAAGGTAAGCAGGACCCAATCCTGGGGGATGCTGCTTTCTGAGTGGGATGTCCTCTGGGCCCTGGAAGGGTAGGTGGTGGGGCGTGGGCGGGAATGAGGCATTAGGCTACAGCTTTGATTCGGGAATCTTTGCGTGGAGACAGCAAGGAAAGAAAAAAATAAGAATGAAGGCACTTCAGAGAGCGAGAATGTGAGGAGAGGAGCGAGAGGATGAAGAGTGGGACTTAGTGCATGCCTACAGGTCAGAGAAGGAAAAGGAAAAGACACAGAGAGAAGAGCTAGCAAGACAACTAGGGAACAATGAGCACCAGGCTGAGGCAGCTAAGGGATGGAGGAGTCCACAGGTGACAGAGCCATCCAAGAGGCAGAAACAGGTGAAAAGTAACCGAAGCATGTGGTAGGAAATGAGCCCCTTGTGGTTTGGATCTCAGCTTTTCCTTCTCTGCCCCTTCGTCATTTTGTCCTTGTCCTAGCACTGGATGAGGTGCTCTGGCATCATTGTTCTAATAGGAGAGGAAAAAGAGATACAATTCTTAGAAAATGATTAATCCTCAGAGGAAACCCTGAAAAAGGCACTTGTACCAATTTTAGACACATTCTGGTATTGAGTCAGATTGCGTTGCCATAGCAACTGCTCTTCCATAACCACATAAACAGGAGCTTTACAATAGTGGAATAACTGAAATGTACAGCCTGAGAATTGATAACTTTCCCTAGAGAGGTTACCTGGTAAGAGAGGCCAAGAATTTCAAGGTAAGATGCTCTTGGTGTACTCTGTTTCTATAGCATAAGCCCTGTACTTTCTCTGGTGGCCTTCTATTGCCAGAGAAACCATGTTAAAACTGCCCTTGGAGACATATGTGTTTAATATATATGTGTGTGTGTGTGTGTGTGTGTGTACACACACATGTACATGTATATAACATTTATAGTTGACAGTAAGCTTAATGTGAATCAATAGTGTAAAATACTTCTCAAGAAAGATAATGTGATATTGAGAAACGTTTTGTTATGAAATAGAAACAAGTGTAAAAATTTTGAAAAATTGAAAGATGAAACTTAAAGCTACCCATAATCATATCTCCCAGTGATAACCACTACTAGTGTGTTTGTGTAGAAATACAAATATTAAAATAGATGTATATATCAGGCTATTTGCATACTGTTTTCTTCACCCTAAGAATATGTTTCAGTTATCTATTGCTGCATTAAAACAACTTCAAAACTTGGTGGGCTAAAGCAACCATTTGTGTTTTTTCCACGATTCTGTAGCTCAGGAATCTGGACATAGCAGAGCAGAAATGTAGTCCTTGCTGCACAACTTTTGGAGCTTCAGGTAGGGTGCCTCACATTCAGCCTGGCTTATTCACTCACATGCTGGTGCCTCAGTGGTCCTCAGTGGCTCCATGAGGCATCTTTCAGCAAGCGCTTTCTCATCTCCCAGGACCACGCTATGTTGGCCTCTTTCCAACAGGGTAGCCTTGACTTCTTACATGTAGCCCGGGGCTCCATGAGCATTAAAACAGCAGCTGCCAGGCCTTTTAAACACCTGGGCTCAGAGGTTCTAGAATGGAATTATCTCCACATTCTGTGGGCCAAAGCAATCCCAGGCCTGGCCCAGATTCAGTGGGATGAAGGAGTGGACTCCACATCCCATGGGAGAGGACTCACACAGGGCCGGGGGAAGATTGATGACAGCCATCTTTGGATACTACCCAGCATACCATATATTGTGTGTCCCCGTATCATTCAGTAATTTTCAGAAGCATGGTTTTTAGTGGTTGCAGAGATTTCTTTAGAATACGTAATTATTTTATTTAATCAAAACACTGATTGTGATCTTAGGATGTGTTAATAGACTCACAGTGTCTAGTAAAGCCAACTGATATCCACATTCTCTCCTACTTTAATCAGACCTCTCTAGAGAACTGAATTTATCTGAGCACCACAGTTTGCCATGGATATGGACAAACCAGAACTTGTTTGAGAAGTGCCACCGACTTGGTGAGGGGCCTCACAGCCTGAAATGGCTGAAAATACAATGCATATTTACTGCAGAAGGGAAGACTCGGGGAAAGGCGAGGGAAAGTTGGTTGTATTAAA